GTCCCAAAACAAAATGGTTGGTTTGTTCTACAGAAAAAAGAAGCATTCTACATAGATACAACAGAAGCCGAGTCAAGATGTACATCCAAAAGAGATGTTAAAAATGTAAGCATTTTGGTTGTTTTTATATATTTTCCCATTTCCTTGTTGAAGCCAAAAACTAGATTTGATTTTTACCACTCTCTTTACTGATCTCCTATGAAGACCCTTCAGCTTCGGTTTCCTTGACTAGGTCCGGTCTTTTCTCTTCATCATCTCTATCTTTGTGAAAAGAAGGGTTCCTTCTTCTGCTGCTGCTAGGGCTATTCGGATCATATTTCGAAGACGCTAAGAAGTTGAGAGCCAATACTACATCGCCTACAACGGGTCTCATGCCCGGCTGCTCTTGAACGCACATTGCTGAAATCGCAAGTGCTTGGTACAGTCCTCTGACCGGGTATTGTCCCTGAAGCAACGGGTCAACCATTTTCGGAAAGTTCCTCCTGTCTTTGAACAACGGTCGTGCCTGTAAACATATAACCCGTAAAACAAAATGAGCGTTGTTTCAGCAAAGATCATTGAGAGACACTGAAGAGAGACAGAACATTACCCATCCAACCAGATTCTGATCTTTACGCGCTCTTGTATTATCAATTGCTTTCCTTCCAGTGATAAGCTCGAGAAGGACAACTCCGAAACTGTATATATCGGATTTAAATGTGAGCTGACCCGTCATAGCATAGTCGGGAGCACAGTATCCGTATGTTCCCATAACCCTTGTGGAGACATGGGTTTTATCCCCACTTGGTCCAACTTTAGCCAACCCAAAGTCGGATAGTTTTGGCTGATAGTCTTCACCAAGCAAGATATTCGAACATTTAAGATCTCGGTAGATCACAGGGGGCTTCATTCTATCATGCAGATACTCCAGACCTCTTGCTGCACCAGCTGCTATTTTCATCCGGGTGTTCCAATCAAGTGGCTTTTTACCAGAAGAGAGGTCTGGAAATAGTTTTAAAAAAAAAGCATTGAAAATTAAATAACCGACAAAGCAAGTACGAGGTTTGAGAAAAAAAAGGGATAATTGGGTGGCAAACAATACAGAGGCAAAGGTTAGGCTTTTGCCGGCTAGGGATTGACCCATTCTTCGGTTTAATCCTGATCACACCCAATCAAGCAATCAAACCCTCAATTCACAGAATGCGTGACATACCATGATCCTTCGGTTTTATTAGGGAACAGACCCTTTTTTGTATACAGAAAGAGAAACAGATAGCAACAAATTTGAGTTTACAACATACCATGAAGATGATCTTCGAGAGATCCTAGCGGCATATACTCGTAGACCAATAGTCTCTGATCACCCTCAGCACAAAACCCGATAAGCTTAACGAGATTCGGATGGTCAGCAAGACTTAGTGTCAACACCTCAACCACAAATTCCCTGATTCCTTGAGCCCCATTCCGGTCAAGTTGCTTGATTGCAACAACCTAGCATTAAGAATTTTCGCTAATTCATTCAACAATCACAAATGATCAAGAAAGACAGAGAATTTGTTCACACACTAATTATGTAAGGTACCTGATCAGGTTTCTCTATAGTCCCCTTGAAAACTTTTCCAAAACCTCCTTCACCAAGGAAACAATCCGATCTAAAGTTCCCTGTGGCAAGTGACAGTTCTTGAAAGGTAAAAGTCTGTGCTTTCTTCCCTGTAGCTTGGTCATTCAAATTCAAACCCTTCACGTCAAGAGCTAACTGATCCTCCTTACCAACTCCTTCAGTTTTTACATCTCTATATGGACTGACTTTTGTCGAATCTACAAGACATGGAAACGAGTATAGAATCAATTAAACCAGCAGTTATCATCATGTGACTTAGCCCAGGCCAAACACACACAAAAAAAACCCAAATTTTGACCTTTGTCTCCTCCACGAGAACACTCGATTAAAAACCAAACATCACTTATACAGAGAATTGTACACATGCATCGAAATTCTCTGATAAAAACCACACACACTCTCCACGGAAATGGCTTTCCCAATGTAACCGATTAGATATGAACTCCGATCCAAGCAGTTCAACAAATACACAACAAGAGCTAGTGGAGG